GAATCGATGGTTTTGCCCAGCGGTAAAAGCTGATAATAAACGATAACCTTCTAATCCCACCATATGAATGTTTTTTACTTTTTATTTTTCTTAATGTCCTATAAGTATTGATATTAAGGTGACGTGGGCGCCAAAAGCAGATTTTTCACGCTTTATAGGTGCGCAGAAAAGCATTTATTTGTTATAAAAAACTATTACATCTGTTATCACATCACATTTTTTTTAAATTCATTATGAAAGTTAAAGATTTTTCTTAGTGAAATATGTTGGCCAAAACACGATTGACACATTTTGGCTCGATAGAAAAATATCGCAAAATTTACTCAAAATCTACAATTTTAGGTACGTCCACCAAGTGAAAAAGCTGTTTTATTCGAATGTAATGAAATCAATTTCAATTAAATTCAGGTTATGTGTTCACCAGTAAATACGTGAGTGAATTATGGGTTTATTTTTTTAATAAAAGAGTATATATAATTTTAAAAAGAAATATAAAATAAATATTGTGCGATTAAATAGAATAGCGCGCGGGTCGATCAAATAGTCCATACAAACCGTGAAAAATCTGCTTTTGGCGCCTATTTCACATTAAAACTAGCCAGATACAAACAGTAAATCAAAGAGATTTTTCTTATCTTCTACATCTATTTTAATATTGATACTTTTTAATATAATATTTTACATAAAAACTCCACCCCTTTTTAAGACCTAATGAGGAGATTTTTTAAGAAACAAAAATGGTAAATTTTATTATTTTTAATTTTAGAGTGTACGAATTCATCCGATTCCGAATTTATTTATTTCATATACGAAGTACCTTTAATATCGCGCCGTAAAATAAAAAAATTCATACAAACTGTAACACCCTATTTTACCCTCTAAGAGTTTGAATTTTATTAAATCCTTTGTTAGTGGATGCTTTAAGTTATAAAAGGCAGCTACCGTCCAATTTTCAGATGTCTACGTTTAGCGTTTGTGCTATGCGTTGATAGATGCGTCAGTAAGTGAGGGCATCCTCTTATATGTATATATATATTGTTTTGCAGTGGGTGATAAAAAGCTAATGATGAAGTAGTTTTGCATCCTGTGTATTTAGTTTAGTTCAAATAGGGCCCTAATTAATTCTGGGCCCTTGATTACATAGCTACGCCACTGATAACAAGTGCCAATTTTGGCCTTTTTTATCGCTAGTACCACATAAATATTTCTTTTACCACAACTTATCTCACCAAAGAACTTTGCTAAAGAACTAGATTTAAATAAAGCATTTGTTGTTGGCTAACTAACAAATCACGGAAATCAATCTGACATTATGGTTATCGCATTAAACGAGGCTGGTTGTTAACCCAACCAAAAATTCGTCAAAGAATCTTCTTACATAACTAATATAATAATAATTATTATCTAACAAAAATAACCGGAACCAATAGGTTGGTCTTTAAGATATCGGGAAAGTTTGAGACTAAATTCTACCTAAATTCAATTCAATATTTAATGACTCGAAACGTAACTTAACCTAGATAACTCAAGTCATAAGTGCTTAGCTTGGACTGAACTTCACCGCAGTAGTGGCCGACGACCTTTCGCTCCCAGCCATGAATCCAAGATCGGATGTAAGAGGTCGTGGAGTGCTAGTGGTGCTCTCGAGCAGAAGATGTCTTCTCTGGTGAGACATTCATTTCGAACAACCTCATTTCGAAGTGGTAGTAAATTTGCAAAAAAAAATACATTTAAAATACTGTAAAGCACTTCCTTTTTTTACTCTCCCAAGAGTGGGCAGACAAGCATACGGCTCACTTGATGATAAGTGACTACGGCCGCCCGTAAACAACTAACTGCAACACCAGAGGAATTGCAGATGCTTTGATAGCCTCTTAGAAAGGAGTAGGCTATTTTCTTGAAGGTCACTAAGTTGTATCGGTCCGGAAAAATCACCCGTGGTAAACTATTCGACAGTGAGGTCGTACAAGGAAGAAAACTCCTAGTAAAATGTACAGTAGTGGACCGCCAAGCATGGTGTGGATGGTATCGGGAGTTTTGTCGCAATGTTCGTTCGTGAAATTTGGCAGCCGAAATTAATCCGAACAATTCCTCAGACTCCGCGTGGTAGATGCGAAAGAAAATGCAAAGGGGTGCAACATCTCTTGGCAGCGCTAGTGATTTGAGCCGATTGGAGAGGACTCGGTCCTCAATGATTCGAGCCGCTCTGCGCTGGATGCGATCAAGTCGAAGAAGCTGGCACTGGGGAGCCCCAGCCTAGAGATGGAAACAGTATTCCATGTGAGGCCGAACCTGCACTTTGTAAAGTTTCTTCATCATTCTTCTTCATCTGCCCTCTAAGTTTTGGTTTAGTTGCTTCACTTTTCCTTTGATCGTCACGATTGACTGCGAGATTCACGTTCGCAGTACCAGAGGTCTCGCACCTTTGGTACTGTTGTTCGTCGCCGGCCTGGAAATTTTACGTCTGGGGCGATAGAGATGTTTATACAGCCATCCATTGATAGCTACGAAATGGAGTAAAGAACTTTGATACGCGGCCACCTCATGACGAAAGTATTTAAAAGAACCTTAAATATTTCAGAAGTACGTCGGTTATGCTTGAAACCTAAAAAAGTTTGCATAGCTTAAAATGTTTTAAAGGTGAAACCAGTGTTGTAATGATTTCTTATATTTACACGAATATTAGACATGGATTAAACTTTACGGATTTTATTGCGTTTAATTTAACTGATTTTGCTACTATCACATCGGGATATAAAAAGCTGAAGGTAGCCCAGACCGACTATGACATCAGGAAATCAAACATCACAGTTTCCCCCGTGACCATAGGTGCTGTAAAGTACTTGAAATGTCTGTAATTTAAAAAAAATTAAGATTAGATAAATTAAACGCGATAAAATCCGAATAATTACTATAAATTAATTTAAGCTAGAGTTAAGTAATTTACAACATATTCAACCATGGCTTAATTAAGATGGTTAACGTTGATGTTACATTATAAATAAATATATCAACGGTCTTTCGGAATAATTTCCCAACACAGGATGCAAGTAGATACATAAGCATTTTAGATCAAGGCTCACGAGATTCTCGAATGTACACCTTCATCATATCTGGTCAACGCGGCAAAAACTCGCCGACCGCCGCACGGTTGATCTATTTGAAGCTGGTATAAAGTATTTATTAGTTAAATTTACTTACATTATTTTATCTTAGACCAACAAAGAAACATAGACAGAAAATTAAGGTACGTGAGGCTAATATGGTCATGCGGTTAAAATGGTCACTTTCTTATAACTTAAAAACTGCAGCCTTGTTTACATACATAAATGCCTCTGTGATACGATAGCTCTTCATCAGTAAATCAAATAATAAAGGGTCAAAATGGCGTTGCTTTATCGACGCCATATTAACAGTGGATATTATAGAAAATATTTTTGTCGATTTTAGTATTGTGTAGCGTAGTTAATATTTTTTAAGTTGATTTTTCGAAGTGCTCCTAATTATTGCTAAAGCTTGTTAGCTATTATTTTCTTAATATATTAGTCATATTCTACGACTTGTGTTTTTGTTTCTGTCTTCTTCCTTGTTTTAGTTTTATATGGCGGACAAGCTTATGACTATATTACCCTCACGTATCTTATATTTGAAGGTACGCGGAAACCATGCTTAACATATTTTAATAAACCAACAAATCGGGGGATGGCGGCAGCGTCTTCCTGTAACGACCAAGAATAAAAACTGCGGTTGCCAATCGTGGCAACTATGGATAATGTCCTCCCTACGTTCAGCAGTGGACGGCCTATCGGTAGGCCTATGTTCAGTAGTGGACTTTAATATGCTGTAACGGTACAGTAACGATACGGTAATGGTATTTTGCAACCAACAACACTAGTTATGTATGCCTAAATGCGTTTTCTTACAATAATTTGACCATGATTCCCGTGTCACTCGAAATGTAAGTAATATTTTGTCTATACTAATCTTCTATGTATTCTACACTACTCTGCGTATTACATACATATATGAAAGCAGATTTAAATCTGACCGGAGCAAAATATTTGTAAGTCAAAGGCTAAGCTATAGTTATTTAAATAGCTGTTGCTGCATTTTTCTTTTTTCGATGTAAGGGCAATAATGGGAATCGATTTATAATTTTCAGATATTTCCTTTGACTGAGTTCGAAAAACAAATAGGATATATTATTCTGTAATCATCTTTCTGTGCATCTTTCTATCTCAATAATAAAATTATGGAAATTACTTTACTATTTTTACTATTATTTGTTTTAGTATAACATATTATCTACAGTAAACTATCAAAAGGAAACTCGCACTTGAAGGCGTTGATATTGTACATGCAGATGTAAACGAATCGGCAATATTAAGAGTGGCACTAATGGCATCGTAAGATGTTAGTCGGTCACCTGGTAGAGTAAATGATGTAATGTTTATATCAATTACTTACGTTCTTTTTACGTAATAATATGCTTGCTGCTGTATTATGGCTGCAGTACGAATATAATAAGAAAGTTGGTAACGTGAAATAGCAGCTAAATGCTACTGTGTTTCTTATGGCAAATGTAGCGAACCGGAGACCCTTTTTTACTGGAAACGAGGCATTCCATCTTAGTTCTCAGGGGTGACAATGCATCTGCATTTTGATTCTTAATCATGGATAAATATAGACATAGTCTATGAGCCGGAGTATCCATTTAAGATCAGGAGGGCTGTGTGCTCGTTTGTCACCCTTATTCTATAAAATAAAGTTCGCCCTCACTAATGCGATCAGGTTCAAGGCAAGGCAGACACTTTCGAGTATGACCTCACATATCTAGGGTAGAATTTTGTCTCGAACTTTCCTGAGATCCTTTTTTTTTTTCTACTTTTTATTTTATAAAAAAAAACACTTTTTGAAAGTGAAATGAAATGCTATGCCATCTCCATATTACGTATTGTGTATATCAATTCATATTTAATGGAATATATATCGTATTTCAGCTGGGCAGGATGTCCGTGGGTGTGATGCTGCCCCCTCGCTACGCTACTCTACCGCTGCCAGCGCCCTACGCACCTCCCGCCCCCCACGCTCCAGCGCCACTCTACTACCCGCTACACGAAGCCGTATGTATCAGCTGAATGCCTTTCAATTAATGTAGTTCATGCTACCTTAGCCAGGAATTGCTAAATTACCAAAAGTGACGACCTGGTAAGAGATGCAGGAAGTCGATGGGTACGGGTGGTCAGGACAGTGCTCTGTAACATTGCCTTTGTGTAGCAGTAGAGTTGTGATGGATTATAATAATGACGGTGATGATGATGAGTTCATGTAACGCAGTAACAAGGTTTCCCGTAGTTGGAAGACCTTAGTAAGTTTGGAAAATTTATAGATTTATTAAAAATCCTCAAAGTTTTCGGATAAAATCGAAGATATTTAAGTAATAGCTTTTAAATCTCTTTGGATGACATATAGCCGTGATCCTTTCTAGCATTTTTCTTACCGTCACCGTTACAGCCTACTGCTAACATAGACAGAGATCATGTGAGGACCACAAATTTTGACGGCATTTATCTCCGAAAATATTAATACTTAGATAAATTAAAAAATAATATAAATAAGTACACTTAAATAACATCATACATTAATATAAATAATAATATTATATCATTTCATTCATGAACCCACGTTCTACGTTTAGTTTTACGTTCTTCTTCATTTTCCAACATGGAGCTAATAATAATAATATCTTCATCAATCTCCGTGACCGAATACGTAAACTCACATGTACGAGTATTATGAGACAGTCTATGGGGGAGGCCTATGTAGGCTTCCCCCATAGATTGCCTCACAGGGTGAATGTGTGCCATGTTTGTGGTTGACAACCGCAATTTTTTGTTTTTAGTCGTTATTAGGGAGATGTTGCTGCCCATCTCCTGATTTGTTTCTCTCTTACTAAACTCACGGAATGATATGGTGCATTGCTCTTTTTTATATATAAAAGAGGGGGCAAACGAGCATGCGGCTCACTTGATGGTAAGTGTCTACCGCCGCCCATGAACAACCACAACACCAGGGGAATTGCAGGTGAGTTGCCGAACTTTTAGAAAGGAGTAAACTCTTTTCTTGAAGGTCACTAAGTCGTATCGGTCCGGAAAAATAGGTAAACGATTCCACAAAGAAGTTGTAAGAGGAAGAAAACGCCTAGTAAAACGCACAGTGGTGGACCGCCAAGCATCCAGATGGTGAGGACGATATCGGGAATTTTGACGCGATGTGCGATGTGAAATGTGGCGGCTGGAAGTAAACCGAACAGCTCCTCAGAACACTCCCCATGATGGACACGATAGAAAACGCAGAGGGATGCAACATCCCTACGCAGCGCCAGTGAATCGAGCCGATCAGAAAGAACTCGGTCGTATTTGTTCTTTTGTTCTTAAAGTTTCATCACAATTAGTTCAGCCATTTAGAAAGTTAGCCCAGACAGGCAGATAAAAAATTTTAAAATGATTATTTATATCTTATTAGTGTGCAAATAACTACCTGAGTTTAAATGGAACCATTTATTTGAATATTACAGACAGACAATTCAATTTTATTTATACTGGATGACCTTTTTTTACGTCTGGAAAAAAATAGGGTGTAACATGACATGTGAACGGAGTAAAAGCTCGTCCTATGGCACCGATATTTTACAAAAAAAAATTTTAATTAAATAAATAAATTAACTAAAATCTATCGAAATTGAAATTATATCCATCCTACTTTACGAACGACGATTGTCACATCGCAGAGTCATAGGTTCAAGGGCAAAGAGCAAAGTAATTGTTCAAAAAATTTTTTTCAAACGTTTTCGTTAAAATTCAACAATTTTGTTTTTATTTTTTGTAAATCTAATTAAGTGCCATAGACTTCTACTCCGTTCACATTTTACACCCTATTTTTTCCAGGCGGTAAAAAAGGTCATCCCCTATATTATATAGATATGGTTTCTTCACCTATACTTTCTATATAATATGTATAGATAAATAAACTAAACTACGAATATTGCTAAAATCAGAAAAAACAAGTGCAAACAAAGAACGAACTACTGAGGCATTGTATTAATATATTCTCGAAACTGATACAACTTTTATTTAAGACCAACTTCTCAATTAAATGACATTATGTACCAAAAAACTACATCACATTCATTGAAGGAATTTGTACTACGTATTAGTGCGGATAGTGATGCGGATACTGATACGGATACTGGGATATCCTCATTTCTAAGTTTATCACGCAGAGAAACCCCGAGCATAGCCCTCTCCATAGCTCGCTGAGCGACTTTGAGCATCCCCATACGCCCAGCAGTGAAGGACTACGTCTTGGTTCCATAGGTCATCACTGGCAACATGGACTGGTTGTACAATTTAGTTTTAAGGTTTTGAGGTATACGTGACGAGAAGATATGTCGTAATTTCCCAAACGCTGCCCAGCCGAGTTGAAGCCGTAGATTGACCTCTCGGTCGAAGTTGGACTTACCTAGTCGGACTATTTGTCCCAGGTAAACGTACTCGTCAACAACTTCAAGCTTAGTGCTCCCAACCACTACGGACATAGGTGTGACATGGGCACTAAGCATGATCTTTGTTTTGTTCATGTTCATCTTAAGACTTATCCCCTGGGAGACACTATTGAGGTCATTGACCATTGTGCTTCGGTCCTCCAGCGATTCTGCCATAAGGACTATATCGTCGGCAAATAGAAGGTGAGTGATGTACTCGCCATTGATGTTAATACCGTATCCTTTCCAGTCCAGTAGCTTGAAAACGTCTTCCAATACAGCTTCTCATCAGGTATACCTTAAAACCTGAAAACTAGATTGTACAACCAGTGCGTGTTGCCAGTGATGACTTATGAATCTGAGACGTGTTCCTTCATTGCTGGTCGTATGAGGACGCTCAAGGTCGCTCAGCGAACTATCGAGCGGGCTATGCTCGGGGTTTCTCTGAGTGATAAACTTAGAAATGAGGATATCCGCAGTAGAACTAAGGTGACCGACATAGCTCAACGGATTAGTAAGCTGAAGTGGCAATGGGCTGGCCATATAGTTCGAAGAACCGACAACCGATGGGGAAAAAAGGTTCTCGTGTGGCAGTCTCGTATCGATAGGCGTGTAGTGTAGGGCGACCCCCACTAGATGGAATGACGACCTGGTAAGACATGCAGGAATTCGATGGATGCAGGTGGCTCAGGATCGTGGTTTGTGGTATTCCTTGGCGGAGGCCTATGTTGAGCAGTGACTGTAATGAGGATGATGATTAGAAAAAACGCCGAGACTTGGTCTTTTGCAACACGCATTAGAAACTTAAGTAGTCTGTGCCATAGAATGGTACTCTGTACTTCCGCGCACCCGCACTGCCGCAAAGATTTCTCCGCTGTGTCTGTTACACAGTTACAGTACGTAGTACATATTAGTTTAATGACCTAGTACCCACTAGCGACATCTGGTGAGCGAAAGACTTTTTATAGAATAAGTGTGACAAACGAGCAGTCCGTAAGCGGATGCTGTGACCCATCAAATGTTGATGGGCCACAGCATCTACTTATGTGCGTTGTGACCCTTACTAAGGTGGAATGCCTAGTTTCCAGTAAAAGGATCTCCGATTCTTTACACTCAAAATTCAAAACACAACAGCATTAAGCTGCTATTTTAAGATGATATTCTGCGAGAGAGTGATCCTACACCGGTCAAGCCGACCTATTCGTGCTACAGGCATAATATAGCTGCATCGTGGCGCTACCACGTATTATAGCCCTCATTGGTGTTTTGCAGCGCGCTCGTCGACGGCGCTCGGCACTGGCGAGCCGTGAGAGGCGACGAACAGCTCGCGAGCGTGACTCGCTCACTCGCTCGCTCGAAAGGATCCACCGCAAGCGGCGAGCAGAGCGCGAGCGGGTCACCGACGCCGACCTCAAGCGGACCTACACCGGACTCGACAGGTACAAACACATGCATTCACGAAACCTGGGCTTAGAAAGGTTTAGAATGGTCTGCCTTTAGTGAACAATATTTTCTACTGAATGTTAATTAAGTTGATACAAATATCTTCTGCGCTAAACTTCTTCTACTGCATTTACACATGCGTGCTTGTGATTTGCTTTGCCATTCAGCGAACTTTTTCGACTTGATATTCGTGTGGTTTAGGCTACACGAGTGACCGTTTATACATTTAAGTCTATTGATCTGATATCAGCGCGGATTAAACCTCGCCTGTTTTAGTTTACTACACTCTTATTTAATTAGCGTGACAACAACGCACTCACGTTTCTTGTTAACGTGCACACGTGCCACTTGTTACTCAAGCAATACACGTTTCTCAAGAAACACATGTACACGACATCGTCTCTCCGCAGAGCGTACGCGGAGCAGTTCATAGCGGTGTGTGACGAGAGCCGGCACGCGGCCGAGCAGCACGACTCGCTCGCCAGCACCGCCACCAGCGACACCGCACACTCGCGCGCCTCGCACTAAACAAGTCACCAGATTCATACATTACAACCCCTTCAGTGGTGATTTAAAACTTTGAAATCAAAGGTTTAAATGGACTCTATAATATAAAAGGTATATTTAATCATCTCTAGAAGTTCTTCTAGAGATAATAAAAGGCGCCACATCCATCACGCTCTCGCTCAATTGTATTAGTTCGTTCAATTTTGTGCGTTTGCTAGAAACCTTCGGCTTAGGTCAAAACTTTTTCTGATTTCGCCAACAAGAAAAGAAAGACGGATCAGCTCTCACTTTTCAAATGACGCAATAGCCAAGCCAAAACAATGCTCAAATTATTATAAGAAGACGAACTCACGTACATATAGCATAGAATACTATAATACACAATAGAATGGCTGTCAACCTTATTTTATATGACGATAGGCGTCGCCGGGAGCACACATACAAGCAATAACGTCGTTTTATCATTACTACAAATCCGATTCGCTGTGTAGACAGACAGATTTTAATACATATTTATTTGTAAATAGCGTGCAATTTGGTATTTTCTAAATAATTTGCGTGGGAAATTTGGAAAGTATGGAGTGTAGAAGTAAGTAGTACCAACTTCCATAGTAGAATAGTTGAAAAAGTGGCAATGTGTAAGCAGTAAAACAGTTCAAAAACTCTCCACAACAGCGCTGGAGTAGCTACTGGGATGAAATGAACTTAGCAGTTGTCGACGGTTTGAAGTGTGTGAGTAAACTGTTCAGTAGCTCTAAAATCTAAAATAATTTTATTTAGCAAATATAACCTCGAAAAAGTTGTCTATCCCACTTATACTTTTCGGTGTGTTCTTTAAAATTTACCCCGTAGCTATAGTGGCGCCACCCTTATTTAACGGTTTTCTATGGACACGTTTATACGTGTGAATTGACGTGTTAGTGACATTTTTGTGGCTACGCGGGCTCCGCCCACTCCCCCGTTCTATTATGTATGTATTATAGTATTCTATGACATATAAAATCATTTGCAACCAATAACACGGTTTAATGTGCTTATGTGTGAGTAATGCAGTGAACATTTACCTTTGATAAAGAAAGAAGGAAGAAAGGATATTATGTGCGTGTCAAGAAGTTGAACATTGTTTCGGCATCACTTGAAATGTTCGCAGCGCACCGTCTATATTTCGTTGTTGGTCTGAGTTACAACCATAGATGAGAGTAATGTACTCTATGGTCTCTTCCGCTCGTAATAATTGTTTTAAGTCAAAACGTTATTTTTATTTACAATAACAATTTATTCGTAGATAAACAAGATGCTATCAACTAACACACGTAAATTAAAATATTAAAATAAATTGTTAGGTAAAAAACAAAATAACATTTCATGTTTTGTAGAGATAACTTTTGCAAAATCTTTATGTTGTATACTATTTGGTAATAAATTTCGCCAATAACTTATATTGTGGCCGCCGCATGCTCCCCTCATATAGTGACCCTCGGGGTTTATCTCTAGTCGTCTTAATTCCATCCCTGCCTTCATTGCCATCCAGCCCTGATTGACACATGTGGAGACTTCATATCTTGTGACACTATAACTACAGCTTTTGAACTACAAACCAAGCACGGAATCGCAATTAAACCGAATATAAGTCTGCGTTTGTAAAGCTTAGTATAATTATGTCAGTCCATTTATCGCATTCGTGGTACCTTAAGAGTCGTATGGTTTACGGTTTACTATCCTGTGGTTGAAAAATGAACGCTCACCGTCTTTTAAACATAGATAAATAATATATCGTATATCTGTATATTCTTTCAATATATTTTCAAATATATACAGCACACCGCACGCACCATAACCTTTAAAAATTAATTGCGCATTAGCTAATTAAAAAAAACTGCAATAGAGTTTAACATAGCTCTTGTTTAATACTTTCGTTAAAATTATTATTATAACAAACACTAGTATTTACAATGATTGAAATAATCTCCACGTCGCATCATCCCTACCTTCTCTACCACCCTGTCCACCACAGGCTGTTGGTGTGGGCAGTCCACGCAGTTGGTCAATATTCGTAGGGACGACTGGATCTCTTAAGGACCCTCTCTTAAGGAAGAAAAAGATTTATGGTGGCCACACACGGTCAGTTCAACTGAGCATTCCAACTGATCAGTTCAAACTAAAACTGTTGATATTTTTTTAAATAGTGGATTTTCGATATATCGATCAATATAAATATATTAATATCGGAGTTTTACTTATAAGTTTATTTATAGATATATCGAAAATCCGATATTTTAAAAAATATGAACAATTTTAGTTTGAACTGATCAGTTGGAATGATCAGTTTAACTGACCGTGTATGGCCACCATAAATCTTTTTCTTTGAGATAGGAAAATCATTTCACGGCAGTTGCCGTGGACTTGGGATGTGGGAATACTCAAGCGCAGGAACGGCTGCCTGCTAGATCCCCTCCATTTTTAAAAGTGCAGACCAAAGTGACCATTGTCTTTTTATATTAACAAATAAATTTTATATTTTTTATTAAAATTTTCAAATGTTTTTAGTATATAATAGAAACCTATTTTGAATAATAAAACTATATTCTCTCCCATTTGACATATCAAAATGTAGTCAAATGAATAAACATGGTATCCCAGTAATTACTAATTTTTATATGCCTATAAATTGGCAATAATTTAAACTAGCCTATTATTATAAATATGTAAAAATACTACATTTCTTAATTAACAAACTGACCTTAAAGTTGTAAATCTTAGCATGCGCGTGTCTAAATAGATAGTCCATTTTTAAATACAATTTAAAATTTAATTTATATTAAAACATCGCCATATCAAATTCATGGCTATTATTGTACTCAAAATATATTCTTAGTTCCTTTTCCTTTTTATTGAAATGAACCGTTGAGAGTAAAAATTGACGAGATTCTAGTTTTAGATTAAGAGAAAATATTTAGGATTTTCCAAAAGTTTATAGCGCTTTATATTTTAATAAAAATGTACAGAATATTTAACAAATATTATACAAGTTTATATTACAATGTACTTAAAATATATAGATCTACATTTATAAATGTAAATTATAATACATACTCCTCAAGTAAATTACTAGGTTAATAATTTCACATATCATACCAAACGTAAAGAAAATATTTTAATAGTTTGTAAATAAAAAATTAACAGATATTTTTAAACTAACATCACTTTACTAACATTAATAATTTGACCGCCATTTTTAAACAGATTTTTTATGGCCACCATCATAGAGCAACACGGGCCGCCGACGTACCGACCCGCCAGTGTTGCTCTATGACTACCATTATACAGAAATACTTACCAAAACTTCACAAATATATTTGACCTTTATCAGTAATACATACTACGTACATATAAAATATCACAAGAATACTAAAATCGTATTACTAACAAAACAATGTAAATTCGTATACTATCGTCAAATATCTGTGTTAATATTCTATGTGTAGTCCCTATTCCTTTAGCTCTTAAGTATTTAATGCGTAAGGATATGTTTCTTTAGTACTTTTTGGTAAAACTTAGTTCTCATTTGTATAATACTTTTCCTAAACGTAATGGTAACGTAACTCTTTTATTTTGTTTTTTTATCTTAAAATAAATTATGTTATATTTTTTACAACGGTAATCTAAAAGCTTACAATAAATTTGAAATTTATTTTAATTTCTAACTAAATAATAACCCCAGGTCTTTAACTGCACGTAGAAAAAAAATATATCTTTAGATTTAAGACTAACTTAAATAATATATTTTTTCAATAAAACAACTAATTCTGCGAACCTAATGTAAAATTACTTTTAAGTGTTTGTACATTTCTAATTCAAAGTCCGCTGTACCTAAACGGTGCCAAATTTTGAATGGTAGCGATTCAATTGGTCTGTAAATATAATTTTAAGTGATAACGCAATCTAAATTTGCTCAACATCTTATTTTTATTATTAGTGTTTTTAGTTATTAGAGCACTAGCAACACAATTTTAGACGACAAAATATGTTTTACTTTCTCTTTGGATGTAGTGAATACCTTAATAAATAAAAATACGAATGTGTACTTCCTCAATCTTTGCATATAAAGTTGACTGCATTTTTTATTTATTTTAGTAAGATTTTTAAAAGAGAAAAGCAATTAACAATATAATGTGTTGCTAGTATTTTTTTACCTTATACTCAATCTTGTTACCATATAATGAATGTTTTAATTTCGTTTCGTTTTAATTAAACATTATTTGAATTGTGTAAACACTTTCTGAAATGAAATTCTTACAATTTTATTCTAATTATGTGCCTTTTTCTGATTTGGTTTATTTATCATTTGACTATTTATCTACTAATGATTATTTTTTCCTTTGTAAGATAACGTATAGGTACGATACTGTTTATATATGAAAATATTACAGTGTAAATATATTGAAGTATATTATAACATAACAAACTTTTAATGTGTTTGTTCTGTAATCTAAATTATAATACCAAATCATCATTTCCTTGCTTTCTTAAAGTAAACTGTAGTTTTTTATTAATTTATAAAGCAGCCTATTATGAGGTTTACAAGATGTTTGTCAATCTTAATGTATGTTAGGATACAGATATATTATATATTGTACTTTTTTCTTAACACAAAACATTTGTTATTCAAATAAGCGTGAGATAGTCGCTGTACGAACGAGACTGTAAATGTATAGAGAAGATATAGTACTATTTATTATTGTAAAATGAACGTGTTGTAAATTGAAATAAAATTTTATACTTCCCTTAATATTGCCTGTTTAACATTCACCCTTATTAATTTTATATAAGTCTTGATATTATTTAATATGTTATTGGACACAACTTTAAAGCAACGACATCTTGGTATTAATCTGATGTAGTCCAAGCATTTTCGTACAATCCAAGATTAATAAACTGACATAGTTACACTATACAACTTTTGTATACATTTCAAGTTCGGCTGAAACTATTCTTAAAAATAAATTATTATTCGTAAAAAATAAAACAGCAGAGTCACGCCTGCAACTTTTCTCGTTTACCTTTCTTGGAGAATCCTTAAACAAATCTGAATGTGCGAGTGTGACAAGTTACACCCACTAAATTATTTTTTCTATCTAGGTTTATCTTAGGTAGACATAGATTCGGCAGTGGACTTTTATAGGTTGTAATGATTGGAAGAATAGAATAGATTACATGCTTTGTTTGTTATTTTACCTCTGGTAAGTATACATTTGTGTATTTTTTTTTTCAGATTTAATTTTTTGTTACACTATTTTATTTTTTAATTGAGTTGACTGGTAGATAACGGATATCAGGGACACTAGTCCATATCTATCAGTAGCCTCTGACCTTAATAGAAAGAAAAATAAAAGGGAACGCAATAATAAATAAGATAATAAATTTAAAAAATCTGTTATAGAATATCGTTTTATTAATCTGTATACTGAAAAATTCTTAAGTTAATTTAGAACTCATCGTCTGTGAGTGCGGAGGCTCGTCGCAGTTCACTGTCGGAGGAGCTCGCTGATGCCGAGCCAACCCTCGCCACTGTTCCCTCTCTTATATCTTCCTCATCTGTCATTGCAAACAAAAATCATGATTAAAAACATGTGGTGGCTCTTGTTATGTATAACATTGTTCAATGTTACCTAGCACTGCAACCGACAAATTGCTTAGTAACCGTGGTGATTCAAGCAAGTCCTTATAATGGGGAGAGGTCCGTGACTAACGGTCAACTCTATTGAGCAGAAAGAAGAGAAAATACGCATTGCCTATGTTATATAAACCAAGTAGCATTGGATCCAACCCAAAAACTGCAATGTCACGCATCAACACATTGTAAAGTTTTTTTTTAAAATGTATTATAATGGATAATTATTAATTACATAATACTTGACACTGGCAAAATAATAATCGTTCAATTCCATTACTAAAAAGAAAGTCGTAAAAAAACATACCATGTCCGAAATCCCCGAAGTCTTCGGCTGCGGCCAGAGTACGCGTGCGCGGCCGGGCACGGGGCCAGCGCGCAGACTCCCCTGAAAAAACGCTATGTATAAAATATATGCACAACACATTGTATTTAAGACACTTTTAAACATAAGTATTAGTGATGAAACGATTCGATTATTTCGATATCACGATTAACCATATTCGCCGATTATCATTGCGATTTTAAATTTATGATTTTTATATTCAAAGGAATTTGTTCCAATGATTAATGCATAGCAAATAAATATCTTTCTATCAAATCATCGTCCGTAGCGTCAGAGAGGTTATTTTCTACTGCTGGATTGATACATACTGAAAAAAGAACAGATTAGACGCTCGAAAAGGTAGAAAATGCTATGTTTTATTTACAAACGTTTAAAATTCCTTTAATTTGATAATTATTTTCTCACCAAACATAATTATAATTAGTTGCTGGTAATAAACATTATGCTCTTTTATCGATAGTAGTATGTTTTATTTGAAATCAAAAATATTCGTCGATTATTAAGTGCAGTAATCGTAATAGGAATCGTAATCGCTAAGTGATAATCGTCTCATCACTACTATTTATAGATTGCTATGGCCATGTTTCAGCTATAGCAACACTATAAGCTATAAGTATAATCTATGAAGCTATTAGTTTTTTCTTCTTATTTTGTAACGTGTACAAGTAAAATATTATACAGCCTATTTCCACCATTATTGTATTCATTTTATTACATATTTAGATTAAGGGGATCAATCACCCCATAGATATCGTAAAAGGCGACTTATGGGAAATGCCAGAAAATATTATGGCTACCAGTAGATGGCTATATAACCATCTCATTTATTTTTGCAATTAGTTATAGCTTATCAAACGTCCACAGCTGAACATAGACTACGTCATCATCGTCTGCCACAGCTGCCACGCTTGGCAGGCGGGTTTGCAACCGCAGTTTTATTTTGTTGTTATTAAGAAGACGCTGCCGCCCATCCCCTGGTTTGTTTCGCTATGTCAGCTCTCACGACACCACAGGACGACATCAGGTCGTGGATATTCCTACATCGCCACTACACGGTTATTACGTTCACGCGAGACTTAAAATCGGAAAACCAGTGACGGGCAGAGGATGTTTCTCTGATAATGACATTGCTAAGCCGCCAAGCCTGATATTTAAAGTAAATCACCCATAGAACGAAAATCTATCAATTCCCAAAATCAATTCCGAGGTATTCCCGAACCAATGGTAAAAGAAAAAATGACTTTCAATAAGTCATGATATATATATATATATATATATATATATGACGATTTTGCCAGGCAGACGTTGTTCTGCCTTTTCGACGACCCTTTGTCATGTCCTATTAAAAATCCTTAAATTCGCAAAAAAAAAATTGTGATTCACTCATGAGCAAAAAACTATCCTATCTCTCTAGTTGGACTAAACTGCACACGGAGTGCAAATTTGATTAAAATCGGTTAAGTAGTTTAGGAGTCCATCGCGGACAAACAACGTGACACGTAATTTATATATATTAAGATAGGATAATGTGTAAAATAAAACCGAAACCGAAAAAAATTTTGTAAAATAATAGTAAAGTAAAGTAAAGTAAAGTTACAGCCTATATATGTCCCACTGCTGGGCACAGGCCTCCTCTCATTTCTGAGAGGGTTTTAGGGCAAGGAATAGTCCGCCACGCTGCCCCAATGCGTGTTGGCGAACTTCACATGTCTTCGAAATATTTTTTTTCTTAATTCTTAGACATGCAGGTTTCCTCACGATGTTTTCCTTCACCGCCGAGCACGTGGTAAATCAGCACTTAAAATTGCAATCAGCAATTTCATTGGTACCGGTGGGGATCGAACCCGGTTTGCTCGCGTATTGTGAAATTTACAGCGAGCGCTAACCCTCTGAGATACCACGGCTCTTAATAGTACATTACTCAAAATAATAGTACATTATATTAAATTATATTCCATCATATAAATTTTAAATCAGAAATATTTCAGTAAAAGTGTCCCCGAAAGAGCACTGTTGTCTGAGCTTACGAGTATTGCTTAGTTCAGGCGCAGATGAAAATGTATCATGTTAAAAATTTCCACAATCAAAAAATGATTATTATCAAAATATAGTAAGTATCTAACCATATAGCTGTGTGTCGGAGAGGTCGGTATCGGAATTCGAGTCGTTGTCGCGCCGCACGTCGTCGAGCGAATCGCGCGCCGCCATCGCACCGAAAGCGCGCCGCCCGTCGCCGCCCGGACCGCCTCACATGAAACAAATTTTTTACCGTGACCGTGACAGCCTATTAATATATGGTTCTAGCACGAATAGGTCGGCTCGACCGGAAATGGACCACGCTCTCACAAAATACTAGCGTAAAATATCAGCTTGATGCTGCTGTGTTTCGTACGATAAGTGTAGAGAACCGAGACTGGCTGCCGTGACCGAAATTCAGTCTGGAGGACATTAATAAAGAAGCTACCGAAGTGTACTAATTTAATAAACTATTGTAAAGTAAAAAGTAAAATAACAACCTACATACATCTCACTACAAATCACAAGTGTCCTCTCGTTTTTAAAAGGGTATGGAGCAATGCGCGCTGGCAGCGCTAGGGTATGTTGCACAGGATACACAGGCGCTCAGCGTGTTTTTATAGAATAAAGGTGACCAACGAGCACACAGTCCACCTAATGGTATGTGGATGCTGTAGCCCAAGATTTAACTGCAGAATACGGCTGTATTTCGTATAGTGAGTGTAGACAAGCAAAGACTATTTTTGCTATTTTTGCTTATTTGAGGCATTCCATCTAAGTGCTAAAGGATTACTACACATCTACCTTTTTATTCTTAATGGAGGAGACAGAGTTAGATGTAAATGGGCCGTAGTTTCCACTTACCATCAGAGTATGTGACTGTGTGCCCCTTTACCGCCCTAATTTTACAAAAAAGGATCGACACTTGCAAGTGCAATGGACTAATGACTTGTTAAAGCTGATATTTTTAAAATATTAGTAGTTGTTGACATTGTATTATTTTATTGCTAGTGGATCGATCTCGCGATTGCTAGGATCTCGACAACATAATATGCAAGTATTATAGTACATATAAACCTTCCTCTTAATAATAACCCCTGGGAAGGGTGATCGCTACCAAGCTATTTCTAATTGGTTTGGTATTGTTAATTGTAACATACAAGATTGTAAGCAGTTATTCAAAAAAAATAGTACCGCTGGGTTTCTTGCCGGTTCTTTCCAGGACAAAGGTCTCTCTTCGAACCAGTAGTAAATTAAAAAAATTATTATTTATAATCTATATTGAATAAAAAAGTTTCTGTTTCTGTTTCGTGAATCAATCTGTCTATTGATTAAAACAGCATCACAAAATCCATTTCGTAATTTAAAGGATCTAAGCATACAGACGGCGGGAAGCGGCTTTGTTTTATAGAGAGGTAAGTTGTGAAGGAAACTGTAAAATTAAAGACCCCGACTTTATTGTCTCAGAATGTCTGGTTCTTGCGAACCGGTGTAGACTGAAACATTTTTAAGATCATTAAACAAGTCATAACTGAAAAAAAAATGTTTTACTTTGATGAATGTAAATCCATCCGAACACGATTACCCCTAATTTTATTGACTGGAAATCTGTAAAGGCTGTTAATGTATGTAATATAATATCGTTATCTTACCTTGAATAGGTTCTTAAACAGGTATAGTGAATTAAAAAAATTCACTTTCTACAAAAATTAAAACCGACTTTAAGCAACTAAAACGAATATCTATAAAAAAACTTTACATTCTGTTGTCAGTGCTAAGAGACATTGAATAGAAGAATTAAAGCCCGTATATAAAAATTATTTTACCCTTTAGAGTGGTTTGAAGAATATATACTAAAATGTTTTAAGGTACAGTATTGTCTTACCTTACTTATTGATTAAAAATAGAACATTAAAATGGGTTCACAATAATTGACAAAAAATTGCGTTACATACATACAAAAAAAAAAACATACAGTGGAATTGTTAACCCTCTCATTTTTAGAATTCGAAACAAAATACTATCTTTGTTATAAAAGACTATTTTTGTAATAAAAGACTATCTTTGCCATAAAATTCTTTGTTATAAAAGGCTATCTTTGTTATAAAATACTATTTTTGCTATTAAAAACTATCTTTGCCATAAAATACTATCTTGTAAAATTGTTGTAAAATACTACCTTTGTTTTAAAATACTATATTTGCTATAAAATACTATTTTTGCTATATAATTTTCGATAAAAGGTTGCAAACCGAAATTTCTATTCTTTTGCAGATGTTCATGGTTTAGTTTTCAGTTTTCATTGTAAACATTCGAAAATCATTGACACCTAAATGACATTTATATTATAAAGATAGAATGATTAATTACGTTAAACAACAAACTTACCAGCGGTCTTGATCCTGAGCCTGGTCCTCGGCCTGGTGGCTGGGCGTGGCTGCTTCATAGAGCCCGAGTCCTTACTCTCCTCGCTAGAATCATCCTCATCTGAAGAAAACAAAAATATTTTATAAGTATATTATTTCTCTTAGACTAGGATGCCTCCTACTACTGCAGGTAATCGATTTTTTTATTGAGTAAGGTTGACAAACGAGCACACAGCCCATCTGATGGTAAGTGGATGCTGTGGCCCATAGACATCTACATTTATCCTCGATTAAGAATCAAAACGCAGATGCGTTGTCACCCTTGAGGACTAAGATGGAATGCCTCATTTCCAGTAAAAAAGTGGTGTTCGATTCTCCAAATTCACCATACGAAACGAGGCTGCCACCCATGATTCTTTTTTTTCTGTTAGACTATTACGTCTATTTGATTGTACTGAGTTATGTTTGTTTTTGAACGCACCAGAAACGTAGCAAACGATACGACGCGACCTTGATCTCGGTACTACAACAAAATAAAACAAACTAATAATAATATGTGCTTGTCTGAAACTGTTTGCAAAATGCGAAATGGGTATTTTTTACGTAATCCGTCACAACTATATTTTGCAAATGTCATCCTAACTGTGGTCAGTTATTCGAGCTATATGGCTTACTGATCCACTACGTATACTGTCTCGTTGGTCTAGTGGTAGTAAACGCTATTGCTGATCATGAGGTCCCGGCTTCGAATCCCGGGTCGCACAATATCAGTTATTGAGTTCTTCTATCAAGAAATTCTCAGTAGCAGCCCGGAGTCGAGAAGTTGGAGGTATTTCACCCTCGTGCCTCGGAAAGCACGTAAAGCTGTTGGTCCTGCGCCTGATCTCTCTTCGGATGTGTCAGATTGCCCTTCCATCGGACTATCAGAGTAAAGGAATAGACAGAGCACCTGTGCTTACGCATACACTCTGGCAATATAATCCTGATCTGCGTATACGGCATTGATATGAACGCCATTATACAAATGTTGACATGTACACCTTAACTTGACGATTTCTTTTTATTAATTTGGATCGAGTTTGTATTATTTTTTTTTATTTTAATACGTCTATGTATATGAGTGTCATTTATCTTGTGACATTTTATTGCTAAATTTATCACGAAATTGTAAATTACCATAGATATTCACAGAACAGTTATATAGAACTAGACCTAAAATTATAAAATTATATATTTTCATGCCATTTAGCAAAATATGATTGTACCATATCAAATTCAACAGTGGTAGAGCCACGCGGCAGCTTTGCTGTCGCACGTATGGGCCGGCTCAAACCGGGGTGGTACCACGACCTCACAGAATACCGGCGTGAAGTGGAAGCTCTGCTTCCGCGTTTCGTCTGGTGAGTGCAGGTGGCCGGAGGCCCAAATCCCCCCCCCCCATCAACATGGTAGCGGAATTAAATGATAGACTACCCCAGGAGGGTACCAGCACCCCTGGAGAATCCCTCGCTGAGCATCCACGACCATGTTTCTCCACTTCTGAGCGTGGGTGCTCAGGCTGCCCCGCGTATTCTGGGGGGGGCAATATTCCGCTCAAGACTAAAACTGCTCGGGGCAAACGGAGCAACAAGACCAAGGCGACCCCTGCCACGCTGTCCGTGAATTTCTGCAATATCAGGGGACTTCACTCTAACCTAAACGCCGTCCACTACCATCTCGAGACGGCGAGGCCGGCTCTGCTCTTTCTGACCGAGACGCAGGTGTCCTCTCCGGCTGATGTCTCGTATCTCTCCTGCCCGGGGTACAAACTGGAACACTCCTTTGTGCCTCGGGCTGGAGTTTGCGTTTACGTCAGAGAGGACATCTGTTCTCGACGCCTCGGCAGACTTGAAGGTTCGGACCTGTCCATCCTTTGGCTACGCGTAGACAGCGACGACCATCCGCGCGTCTACGGGTGCCTCTATAGGTCCCATAGCGGTAATGCCGAAACAGACCGACTCTTCGACCACGTCCAAATGGCTGCAGATTCGTTGCTACAGCAGATCCCCTCCGCAGAGATCGTGATCCTCGGCGACTTCAACGCCCATCACGCCGAATGGCTCGGTTCACGTTTAACCGATCATGCGGGGAGATCTGTTCGTGATTTTGCCTTGGCATATGGTCTGACACAACTGGTTACTTCGCCTACGCGGATTCCAGATGTGGAGGATCATGCACCTTCCCTGTTGGACCTTCTGCTGACCTCTCACCCGGACGGATATCAGATTTCCGTCGACGCCCCTTTAGGCTCCTCGGATCATTGTCTTGTCCGGAGTGTGGTGCCACTCACGTTGAAATCGCGGTTGCATTCTGCAGGCTGCCGCCGTGTTTGGCACTATAGGTCAGCTGATTGGGATGGGATGCGGTCTTTCTTTGCATCCTACCCTTGGGGGCGGGTTTGCTTCTCGCCGGATGATCCCAACGTTGTTGCGGATTCTGTCGCTGATGTGGTACTTCAGGGTATGGAACTTTTTATTCCTTCCTCTGTGGTGCCCATTGGAGGCAAATCTCAGCCATGGTTTGGTCGCTCCTGTAAAATAGCATCATGCTATAAGCAGGAGTGCTACCAAGCCTGGGCTGACGCATCAGCGTCCAGGGATGTAAACACCAGCGCTCTAAAAAAGAAGTATAATTCCGCCTCTAGGTCCTTCAAAAGAGTCATTGCCAAGGCAAAGTCAGAGCACATAGGCAGAATTGGCGAGAGACTAGTTCGTCTTCCTTCTGGAACCCGTGCATTCTGGTCTCTCGCCAAGGCTGTCCAGGGGAATTTCTGTCAGCCATCTCTTCCATCTCTGCATAGGGAGGACGACTCACTGGCCCACACCGCAAAGGAGAAAGCCGATCTTCTAGGCTCTTTCTTTGCGTCTAACTCGACTCTCGATGACGGGGGGAGTACGCCGCCGACCATCCCGCGGTGTGAGTGCTCCATGCCGGAAGTGCACTTCACTCAGCGCTCGGTTCGCAAAGCACTCCTCTCCCTGGACATCCATAAGTCGAGTGGGCCTGATGGAATCCCCCCAATTGTGCTGAGGACGTGTGCTCCAGAGTTGGCACCGGTTTTAACGCGTCTTTTCCGGTACTCCTACTCCCTAGGCGTAGTCCCAAAATCATGGAAGACGGCTTTCGTCCACCCGATCCCTAAAAAAGGCGACCGCTCAGACCCGTCCAACTACCGGCCTATCGCCATCACCTCCTTGTTCTCCAAAACAATGGAGTCCATTGTAAACTGCCAGCTCATGAGGTACCTTGAGGATCACCAGCTGATTAGTGACCGCCAATACGGTTTTCGCCGTGGTAGGTCAGCTGGTGATCTTCTGGTCTACCTAACTCACAGATGGGCGGAGGCAGTAGAGTCCAAGGGGGAGGCATTGGCCGTTAGTTTGGACATTGCGAAGGCCTTCGATCGGGTTTGGCACAAAGCGCTTCTTTCGAAGCTCCCTTCCTATGGGCTTCCCGAGAAATTGTGCGATTGGATCACCAGTTTTCTTGCAGATCGGAGCATCAAGGTCGTTGTAGACGGTGCAAGCTCCGATTGCAAGCTTATTAATGCTGGTGTTCCACAGGGCTGCGTGCTATCGCCAACGCTGTTTCTTCTGCATATCAATGATATGTTGCAAACCCGTAGCATTCATTGCTATGCAGATGACAGCACTGGTGATGCTCTTTACACCGGCCGAGCAAATATTTCTCGGGAAAACGTCTCTGAGTGCCGGGACAAACTTGTGTCTGAAGTCGAGTCTCTGCTGGACAGAGTCTCGGATTGGGGGCGACTAAATCTAGTCCAGTTTAACCCCCAGAAGACACAAGTTTGCGCGTTAACCGCTAAAAAGAACCCCTTTGTCGTATCCCCTCAGTTTCAAGGCACTCCCCTTGTTGCCTCAGCCAGTATCGGAATCCTCGGCGTCGACATATCGAGTGACGTGCAGTTTCGTGGTCACTTGGAAGGGAAGGCCAAATTGGCCTCTAAAAAGCTTGGCGTGCTCAGCAGAGCGGGACAGTATTTCATGCCGGCACACCGCCTGCAACTTTACAAGGCGCAGGTTCGGCCGCTCATGGAATACTGTTCCCATCTCTGGGCTGGGGCTCCCCAGTACCAGCTCCTTCCACTTGACCGCATCCAGCGCAGAGCGGCTCGAATCGTCGACGACCGAGTGCTTTCCGATCGGCTCGATTCACTGGCGCTGCGAAGAGATGTTGCATCTCTTTGCGTATTTTATCGCATCTATCACGGGGAGTGCTCTGAGGAATTGTTCGGATTAATCCCAGCCGCCAAATTTCGTGAACGCACTACACGGCAAACGTCCCGATACCATCCACACCATCTGGATGCTTGGCGGTCCACCACTGTACGTTTCAAAAGGAGTTTTCTTCCGCGTACAACCTCTCTGTGGAATAATTTACCACCGGTGATTTTTCCGGACCGATACGACCTGGGGACCTTCAAGAAAAGAGCTTACTCCTTTCTAAAGGGCCGGCAACGCACCTGCAATTCCCCTGGTGTTGCGGTTGATCATGGGCGGCGGTAGTCACTTAACATCAGGTGAGCCACATGCTCGTTTGCCCCCTCTTCTATAAAAAAAAAAAAAAAAAAAATTATTAATTCTGTAACTACCATATTTCTCGCAAATAAATTATTAAGTTGCATACCCGATTCGCTGAGTTTCCCGAGCACATCCTCTGTCTCGTACTTGTGTATAAGCTGCATAATTGCCGCCTGTTGCTCTTCTGCGGCCTGCGAGTAGATCACAAACACTGGTTGAACTATCACATCAATAAAAAATCGAACAAACCAGAAGTACTTAATATTTGAGACTATCAAGTATCAGCAGAGGACTTTTCCCTGACTGCACGTGTAGCTTGACAGTGGCAGTGGCTTCCCGCGTAATTCCCCCATAGGAGAGATATTTTCCACAGCAGCCACGTGTGGCTCACCGCAGTTTTTTATTCTTAGTTGTTATTAAGAAGACACTGCTGCCCATTTCCTGATTCGTTTCCCTCTGTCGGCTTTACGACATCTACGGAACGATATAGGGTATTGGACATTTCGACACCGCAATGAAAAAAAAAATCGGAACAACCAAAATAAAATATTCAACACTGTTAAGTAACTAAATTCACAAGCACGGAAAGGCGTTTTATTTTTACATATAATCTCTAAATGTACCATGAGTGAGAATTCGCCTAAGAAATTGTAATAAAATATTCCAGGATAAGGCAATTAGTCAAAATTAAAAGATTTTAAAATGTAAATTGGTGTACCTCGGCCTGAGCTCTTTCAAGCAAGCTGAGTTGGTGCTTGAGCGACTCCACACAGCGGTACCTCAGTACGTACTGGTCCCACAGCTCTTCGATCTCCTTCTCCAGCACTGTTAGTTCCGCTTGGTAAGCTGGTCTAACCACAAAAAAGAAACAAAGTTTTAAGAACTAAATAACAACTATTTGTTGTTGTTATTCATCATTTTCATCAATACAGAAAAAAAACAAGACCACTTCTGAACATAGGCCTCCGACAGAGAATTTTTTTTTATAGAATAAGGGCGACAAACGAGCACAGTCCACCTGATGGTAAGTAGATGTAGTGGCCCCTACATTTATCCTCGATTAAGAATTAAAACGCATATTCGTTATCACCCCTGAGGACTGAGATTGAATGCCTCGATTCCAGTAAAAAAGGGTCTCCGGATAACTAACACCCACCATACCAAACACAGCAGTATTAAGCTGCTATTTTAGGCTGGTATTCTGTGAGAGGGTGGTCCTACCCCGGTCGAGGCGATCCATTCGTGCTACAAACATAGGTAATATTAGCTGCTGTAAGCTGCAGCTTGGCTCTACCATGTGGTAAAGCACACACAAAGCACTGTCCTGAGTTATCAGCATCTATCGACTTACCGCATGTCGTGCCAATTCATCACTCTATCTAGTGGGGGACGCCCTACACTTCGCTAACCGGTACGAGGCTGCCACTCGAGAACTTTTTTGTTATTTTCTTGTTATTAGATCTAAGTAAAATTCTAAGTTTTGTTTTGATCAAGTATAAAATATTATTTTGTCTACGCGTAGGGAGGTGCACTTGGTAACTATTATAGAATAAAGGCGACAAACGTGCACACAGTCCATTAGATGTTAAGTGAATGTTGTAGCCCATAGATATCTATCCTCGATTAAGAATCAAAATGCAGATGCGTTGTCACCACTGTGGACTAAGGTGCTTCGTTTCCAGTAAAAAAATGTCTCCAGTTCTATACACTCACCACACGAAACATAGCAGCATCGGTCGAGCCGACTCATTCGTGCTACAACCATATATAATGGTATTTTTGTACCACGCAAACTGTCATGATAGGATTTGCACGCACTTGATCTTCTGGACGGCGAGTAGCCGCTTCTCGGCACGCTGCAACTCAGCAGCTCGCCGCTCGAGCTTTGCGTCAAGCGCCGCCTCGCTGGCCGCCACACCGCCCACCTGCTCCCGGACTTCTTCCACCCGCGCTGCCACGCTGGACACCGCGCGTCTCAGGCACGCTTCTAGCGACACCACGTCCAGCGGCCGCGAGAGCGCCTGCTCGCGCTGCTCCTGATTACACAGAGTAAATTTTTTTTAAATAAAACAAAGGGTGACAAATGAACACACAGTCCACCTGAAGGTAATACAGATTTGCTTAAATTATAAAAATTGACAAGCAAATACAGTTAACGTAAATAACAATGTATTTGTTGCTTTTTCTGTGTATTTTACAAAAAAAATACCTTAATCTTACTGTTGTGCACTGTCTCAAGCCGATTATCCGTTTAAGAACTGCTGCTAAAATAAGACTATAGTAGGTACGTGAAGGTAATATGGTCATCCGGCTAATATGGTCACTTTCTTTTAACTCAAAAACTATAGCCTTATTTGCAAGTTTAGTGTTATTCATCGGCAAATCAAATAATAAAGGGTCAAAAGGGCGCTGTTTTATCGACGCCATTTCGACAGTTAACAGTCGATTTTAGGATGGTGTAGTGTAGTTAGTTTTTTTTAAGTCGATTTTTCGAAGTATTCCTAATTATTGCCAAAGCTTGTTTGCTATTTTTTTTCTTAATATATTAGTTATAGTGTACTACTTTGTGTTTTTGTCTTCGTCCTTCTCCTAATTTTGGTTTTACAGGGTGGCAAATCTTAGTGACCATAATACCCTGAAGTACCTACGTACCTGCTTTGCCTGCCTTTGCCTTTGCCTGAAGTACTAGCTTCATCTAGTGACAGTTTTTTGAAACTAAGGAAAAGTAATCGTTGAAAGAAGTCGATGAAAGTAGTCCTAAGAAAGTCGCTGTTACCACCATTAATTACATCCTCGCCATCACTAGCCGACACACCTATGCCCTTATACTAACTGTAGCGATAGAAATAATTTTAAACGATTAAGATTAAATAAACGCTTCTTTGAAGGAGTCCCCGAAGCCCCCGTTACTGAATATAATGAAAACTATTTTTATACATAATATGGTCATGATACAGTGATATTTATTGTATGGCAGTGAAAGATGGGTCTGGCAGAAGAAGCACGAGAGTAGAATAAATGCTGTGGTCATCAACTGCCTTCGATCACGTCTTAAACGCAATACTCCGTACAAAGTGACTGACACGGCAGTCAAATTCTTAAGGAGTATGTTAAGGCAGAATCTGAATGAAAGGGTAAGAAATTGTGTGATAAGAGAAGAGTGTGGTTTGCAAGATGATGTTCTGACTGCAATTGAGAAAGGAATACTTCGTTAGTTTTGGTCATGTAGAAAAAATGGACAAGGAAAGAGTGACAAAGCAAGTTTATGTTGCAGAAGTAAAGGGCAGAGTTAATTCATTCCATATGTGTTATTAACCAAACATAATATCTTATAAACTACGGTTAGAAATGATTTATCACTGGCTGAACTGCCTCCATCCAGTGTTTTACATAAATACTATCAAAGCAGTTTACAACAGTTTCCAGGAGACTATTAGTGCTACCCGGTATTCGCTTCATCAGGGATGCTATCTGCTTACATCATCAAAGGCGTGAAAACCATCCGTGCGTGCATCTGCAAACAACCCTGATGCGCTACAAAAATGAGGCAGCCCCAACAGTGCCCTTAAACTGTTGTTATACTGTACTCTAAGGACGTTGTATGCATTCTGCGTGTAGTTCACCCAAAGACAGCAGGTATAAAGTGATTGACAGTATGGTTTATCAAGTGTAATTTTAACTTCACAAGTGCATCGAGCGAATCTGCGGGTCAGCGTGTTGCATCCAACAGTCAGCACCCTCCATTCTCTTTCCAAATATAAGTCACCGCTCAGTGTCCATAATGCCCTAGCGGAGTTCCCATTAATTTCAACATCGGATTGGACAAGTTGGTTAGTATGTTTAGATATGGATGTAAAGGAGGCGAAAGAGATGATTTTATAATCGTGCTAAAGGAAGTCCGTAGTCTCAGCCTACCCCTCTGGGTGACAGGAGTGAGTGTTTATGTTTGATGGTCGTTAATAAAATAAATTAATAGAAATTCAAATATAGTTATAGTTTAAATTTAAAGTAATTAATTATTACCTTGTTATTAGCTTCTTTGGCTAATAGATCGTAAAGAAACGCCCCCTGAGCTGTGATCTCCGTCGCTAGGGACCTCGCTTGCTTGATCTCTCCGATCTGTCAATGTTCATTTTTATTACAAGGAGACCCAAGCAGAGTCCTGGTAGAGCCATGCTGCAACTCTATAGTTATATAGCTGCAGCATGGCTCTACCGTACAGTAGTGTAGTTGTGGCACAAATGGGTCGGCTCGACCGGGGAAGGACCACGCTATCACAGAATACCAGTGTAAAATAGCAGCTTGGTGCTGCGGTGTTTCGTATGGTGAGTGCAGAGAACCGGAGACCTTTTTACTGGAATCGAGGCATTTCATCTTAGTACCCAGGGGTGACAACGCATCTGCATTTTGATCTTAATCGAGGATAAATGTAGATGTCTATGGGCCACAGCATTCACTTACCATCAGGTGGACTGTGTGCTCGTTTGTCACCCTAATTCTATTTTAAAAAATCAGAACCATTTATTTCGTGGATAATGTATGTCACGTCCCACCCTATGGGCAATATTTTTTGTATATGTATCAATTAAAGTAGCATAAACCTTAAAAATAACTGTATCAAATGCGAATGCAAAATAAACAAAACATTCGTACATACAGAGTTTGAGAAACAAAGTAAGCATGTCGGATATATATTTATGTCATAAAATTATTGATTATTGAATACGCAAAATTTAATACATTATTAAAATAATGGCAACAATTCATTAAATTTTTTTTCATACAAATTTTTAAATTTGTTTAAATAAATATTAATTAAAATTCAATAAAAAATATTATGTAGTACATAATATGTAACAAAATTTCTTTTCATGGTTGATCCCTTTTTTATTTAAAACATGATGTGAAAGGACACTGCTCATAAAAAAACATCACTTACGAAAAAGCTTAATCCATTGGAACACAGACAAGCTTTGTTTTAAAGATTTTCTTTTCGTAAGAAGAACTTACCCTGCTACTGACATCATACGAGAGAGTGCCGGTGTCTGCGCGGAGGTCGTCAGGAGGCGGCGACTCGAGCGCCGCGCGTAAGTACGTTGCAACTTTCAGCAACTCTCTCACCGCCCAGCCGTCCGCACCGTACAGTCGTTTTCCATTCAGCTTCAAGTTGGCTCGAGAGTGCTGACAACGAGAATAGTAAGATAATCGAGTCTTTTTAAGTCCACTGGACGAAGGCTTTATAAATGTATCACAATCCGATAAGAAATACTGGGAAGACTTGGTGATAATCATCACACTGATATTGATGATTGAAGAGTGACAAACGAGCACAAGGTGCACTTGTTTATTAGCGAACACTGTGATAACACAAACTCGCACGCCTGTCACACAGTGGAAAACACTACAGACTTCCTTTTGGCACATCCTTTACACGTGGTATGGCCATGCACGAAAGGGATGGCTTCAGCGGAAATGAACCACGCTCTCACAGAATACTAGCATAAAGAACAGCTCAATGCTGTAATAAGTTTAAATAGTTCATATGGTGAGTGTAGAGAGAACTGGAGACCCTTTTTACTAGAAACGAAATATTCTTCTTAGTCCTCAGGGGTGACAACGTATCTGCGTTTTGATTCTTAATCGATGATAGGTGTATATGCTGGACTGTGTGCTCGATCGTCTCCGCTACTCTACTTAATAAAAATTAAATTAAATAAAAACATCTCTCTCTTTCTATCTCTCTCTCTCTCTCTCTCTCGCTTCTTCCACATACATATACATGCCTATATATACATATACGTACCTACGTATACATTCTCGTCGGTTAAGGGTACTCTTAATTTGAGAGCAATTTAATCAATAAACTTCCGTCTAGACTGTAGAGGGTCCTTACCGACACTGACACTCACTTCTGCAGCATAAATTTACTTTTTCACTCTTGTCTATTGATATCTACATATTCCTTGATTAAAAAACAAAATGCAGATTCGCCATCATTTCTAAAGGGAAGGATTTAATTTCTCATTACCAGTAAAAAGTGTCTTCGGTTTTCGCCACTCGCCGTGCGAAGCACAGCAACATTATGCTAATATTTCACGTTGGTGTTCTGTGTTAGTACTGTCTCCCATCGAGCTTAATTTGCAGCATTACACAAATGATGTTGTTGCCCATTACCATCTCATCACCATCTATAAAAACCACTCTGACAAATACGGATTCAGCGTAATAATTTCTTATATTTACGCAAATACTACACGTGGAATAAAATAGTAAAATAGTATATCTGCGTAGATCGAATCAAAAATGAATAATCAAAAGCTGAAGGTAGACTAAGTATGTATGTCATGAGACATCAAACACCTGTCCCCCGCTCACCCGTGATTATGGGTGCTATAAAGCACCCGAAACATCGGGAATCATTTTTTTTATAAATTAAACACGATAAAATCCGTAAAAATTAGTTTTCAACTTACTTCAAAAAGGAGGAGGTTCTCAATTCGATTGTATTTTTTATGTGTCTTGTCTCAAAATTTTTCTAGAAAAGTCGATTTTGATATTTTTTTTATTTGAAAGCTAGTGCTTCTCATGAGGTCTCATACAAATTTGATGAAAATCTGACCAGTAGTTGAGTTATCCTTAATAATGCGTATTTAATTGACTTCGAATACATTGATGATGTTCTCATTTTATTTATATATTAAAGTTACACTTAATTTTTAATTTAACCACTTGTGTTCTACGGATTCAGCGATTTTCAGTCGCCAGAGCCTCTTTCTTTAACGATCAGGGGTAGTTGCACTGCTTGCAGGCAGGCACTTGTAGAAAATAGAGTAAATTTTCTTGTGCAATTACATAAACAGTCTTTTAAGTTAGAAGTTAAAGACTTTATACGGCCCACTGCTGGGCGGAGGCCGCTAGAAACAGGTAAACAAGTGGTACCTACACAGACCGACTCCTGCTTACATAAGAGTCACTAAAACAACCACCTATAGTTTCTGCGCCCATAAATCTACATCTCTTCAACCTCACTTACAATAATACTATTTCACCTATTCTTAGAGCTAATATAACTGCAGCATGCTCTACCACTAGTCCTACGCAGTAGTGGATTTTAAAAGGAAATCTTGAAGAAGCATAGATGATAAAAATGATTTCGTAAAAACAAAAAAAAACTATATTTCAAATCTTTTGCATAAAAAATCCTTTCACTCGCAACATGAAAACTACAGTTATAAATGTACCAAATGGGTTAACACGCACAAACAACTCTAAGGCATGCGACACTAGAGCCACTCGACCCTCGAGGGAGTCTCCGCTGCCAGTCAACTGGGCGTCGGGCTCCACCCTTGCCGCCAGCCACCGCACGCAAGTCTCCAGCAGAGGCCAATTCGGCACCCTGAAGCTCTCCATTGATATCTGCTGCGGGAAATCCAGTACGCGCATCGCTTCGATAAAATCTGTAATGGAATTATCGTACGAGTAGCATATGTTTTTAACTTATTATAAGCCATTGCTTGACCACCATCCCGCCTGGTGGTAAGTAGTGATGAAGCTCTAGATGGTAAATGCACTGTCTTAGCGTAGCAAAAGCCATCACTCTTGCCTTGAAGACGCCCGGATTGTATTTGGACCGTTCGCATTACGAAAGACGAATCAAACCCTTTGGTTCTAATGCGTGGAATATCTATAACAAACGAATGGAGAGTGGCCGACCGCCTGGTTTTTTTTAAATCAGAGTGACAAAAAAGCACACAGTCCACCTGATGGTAAGTGGATGCTGTGGCCCATAGACATTTAACCTCGATTAAGAATCAAAATGCAGATGCGTTGTCACCCTTGAGGACTAAGATGCAACGGCTCGATTCCAGTGAAACGGGTCTCCGGATCTCTACACTCACCATACGAAACACAGCAGCATCAAGCTGCTATTTTACGCTCGTATTCTGTGAAAGCGTGGTCCTTCCCCGGTTGTGCCGACCCTTTCGTGCTACAACCATAGTATAGCTGCAGCGTGACTCTACCACGTACATATATATATATATATATATATATATAATTATGATGCAATGCTTCACGGCATGTATTTATACTGGCTCTCTGTACCCATCAGACCGGAACACGGAAATGGTGGTTACGAGAATCATTATTTAAATTATTATTATTATTTAGCAGAAGAAATACGTACGTAAGAAGATGGTACCTACTGAGACAAATTCCTAGGTAGAAATGAAATTCATTTGTCGTGCTATACTCATATCTGTGCTAATATAATTTATAATAAGTATAGTACGTTAGGGTATTATATAGTATTATGGTCATCCGGTTAGTATGGTCACTTTCTTATAACTCAAAAACTACAGCATCGTTTGCATAAATGACTCTGTGACACGATAGCTCTTTTTAACGCCATTTTATTTTAGTCGATTTTAGTATGGTGTAGTGTAGTTAGATTTTTTAATTTGATTTTTCGAAGTGTTCATAATTATTTCCAAAGTTTGTTTCATTTTTTTCTTTATATATTAGTAATAAATAGTATACGACTTTGTGTTTTAGTCTTTGTCCTCTTCCTGGTTTTGGTTTTATAGGGCGGCAAATGTTAAGGTGACCACATTACCTTCACGTACCTTAATATATACTAATAATGGTGATTTAGAATGTGAAGGAGTAGATACGGATCTGTAAGTTGAAGTGAAAATAGGCATATAAAAAATTGTATAGCTCTTAAGAACCGACAACCGATGAGGAAGAAAGATTCTTGAATGGTAGCCTCATACATTGATGGTGTGACGGCCTGGCAAGAGATGCAGGAAGTCGATAAATGCAGGTGGCTCAGAAGCGTGCCTTGTGGCATTCCTTGAAGGAGGCCTATGTTCAGCAGTGCACTTGTGAAAAGCTGTATTCATGTTGATGATTATGTGAAGAAAACTAGATGTTTGTTTTACAATGGTAAAAGAAAATGATAAAACAAATCACTCGTTGGAAAGGCTCATTTTTCCATAGAAAACCGTCTGCTGTACCCCCCCCCTCCCCCCTTTTTATATATTTCTAGCACGCACTTCAACGGCAAACGACAACGCATTCCGTAAGACTTACATGTCGACGTACCATCGCCAACTGTAAGCTATGCTGAATAGAAATTGATTTATTGTTTCCTTTTTACCCGACTGTCCCGAGAGGGATGGTAATGTCTTTCGAGAGTATGTATGTATATGTATGTTTATTTCTTTGGCACGCTCTGTAGTCTAAACGCCTTGATAAATTTTGACACGTGATGTGTCGTTAAACCTCTTAGTTGTGGAAGTGACATAGGCTATATATTGTTTATATATTGCATTTGTAAACACAAAAAAGTGAGAGGAAGGTTTTTACGCGTTAATTTCTCAAAAACACTTACTTCTTAGATCTCTATAAGACATTTTAATTTTTATAACAATTCTTAACGAGTTTATAACACAAATCCACAAGTTTACAAATTATATATTTTTGTTTATAAACTACGTTACTATGGCAACATATAGATAAAATATGTGCAGATGCCAAAGATAATATAACAATCACTACTTATGGTTTTTGTAGTCTTCACAGATATCCTTAATAATCATTATTTAAATAATTCTTCTGTACGTGTGTTTGTCACTGAACACCTCTTAAACGGCTGGATTGGATGAAATTCTTTGACCTCAACTAGCGGAGGAAATGTCGAATACCTGCGATATTGCCTTGTTCTCTATAAAGATTTCAAATTAGGGGACATTAGGGAATTAGAGATCATATTTTCTGGTCCGAAATAGAGGAAGTCCTTTAAAATAAAGGACATCTGGCAACCCTAGAGTTGGCGGACTTCATGTGAACTAAAAACATTATGAGGAAATCTGCGTGTCTAAGAAATAAAAAATTCCTTAGACACGCAGGTTTCCTGATAATGTACCGCCAAGTACATAGTAAGTACTTAAAATGCAATTAACAATTTCGTTGGCGCTGGCCGAGAAGGCGGGAACCGAAGCCGGGTTGCTCGTGTTCTGTGTGTATCTAGTGTAAAATTCATAGCGAGCGCTTTAGCTACCACGGTTATGTATTAAAAAATTATTATTTCTATACTTATTCAACTAATAAATATAATCATAAATATCAGTTGAAATACAAATAATAATAATAATAATAATTGCTTGCTCTTCCTAACATGCGTGTCGCATAGCTTGAGACGTTGCTGGGACAAATGTTAGTTTGTCCCAGCCGGATATAATGCAAAAACTGACGGAGCGCATAGACGACCTGAAGCAGAGAGTTACTGCTTGGGAAAAGCGAATTCGGCGATATACCGAGAAGTCGACACGGTTCAACCAGAATCGTCTCTTCCAGAGTGATCAGAAGAGGCTCTATAAATCATTGGAAAGACCAATGGTAAGTGGAACGGGCCTAGCACCGAATCAGGCCGACAATGTCGCATTCTGGCGCGGCCTGTGGTCAGAGCCCATAAACCACAGCGAAGGCCCTTGGACGGAAGTTGTGGCGAGTCAGTGTGCGAGTATTACGCCCATAGACCCCGTCATCATAACGCCGGATGACGTAGCTGAGGCGGTCCCCGAACTGGAAAAGTCCGGGACTCGACGGGCTGCATCAATACTGGCTGAAGGGGTTCATGGTGTGTCACGCTGTGCTCGCCCGTCAGTTTCAAGAGGCTCTCAACCAGAAGTCTATCGTAACTATAAAATTAAAATGTCACAGGTCGACCTCTCGAATAAGCCTCACACCTAGAGAGCGCGTCCTCAGGCGGCGGATAGGGGATCACTCGGCGTCACAGCCGGATAGGAGGAAAATAAAATACCTCCTGTGGACCAACAGGGCGGAAAATTAAACTTTGTTATCAAACCCCTGCTACGAGCTGCTTCAACATATTTGAAGTTAAGGTTGTGAGCAGTGCTGTTCGCTTAGGCTGAAGCACTACAGGAGGGAAGGCGGCGAAAGAGCTCATGATGAGTCAATGGCGGCAGCCTCATCTTGGAAGGTGGTGACAGCTTTGGCGTCAGGTGGCAACCGGCTGTAAAAATACACTGCCGAAAAAAACATTCTCCTAGTATGAAAGGTTAGGGTGTACCCCTTAAGCGACGACCAGATACGATCCAAAGAGAATAATGCTAATTTGCGTATACTACATGGAACATCGGTTCCCTTACCGGACGCAGCCAAGAATCAGCAAACACATTACATGCACGAAATATTAACTTCTGTTGTATACAGGAACTTAAATAGAAAGGGTCAAAATCCAGGGAAATTGGTAGAAACTATCAACTATTGTAGAACGGCACATCTTCGACAAGGAAAGGATGAACATAGGGAAGAAAGGCCGTGAACGACTACCAATAATCTGACTGCAAACATAATGATTTCTTAAATTTACACGAACACTACACATTGAATGTAACTAAATTTACTGATTCTATCGCGTTTATTTAACTGATTTTACTTATTTTTAATACCCGAAGTTTCGGGTGCTTACAGCAACCATGGTCACGGGGGGGGACTGAGATGTTTGACGTCCCAATATCATTGTTAGCCTTAACGGCTACCTTCAGTTTTTGAATATTAATTTTTGGTCCGATTTACGCAAAACGAACTTACAGTATCTTGAAGTCTTGCAGTGGTATGCTTGGGTTTGGGTTTAATTTTGTTAATTATAGGATCCCAAGCAGATGGCAGCACCCAACCATCTTCTCTATTGAAATTAGGATGTTTTTTAATTTCAATAGCCTCGCGTATCATCCTTGGTAGGAATCGGTGTTCTTTTGCGAGGGTTTGTGGTTTATCAAATCTGATGTAATGGTGGGGACGATCTTGAACATGTTCACAGACTGCAGACTTCCCGGAGCGTCGGGATGACATTGGGACGTCAAACATCTCAGTCCCCCCGTGACCATGGTTACTGTAAAGCACCCGAAACGTCTGGAATTAAAAATAAGTAAAATCAGTTAAATAAACGCGATAGAATCAGTAAATTTAGTTTTATTCACTGACTGCAAACATTAAAAAAAGACCTAAAATCTAATAACATGTCAGAAAGGACAACCCACAATCCCACAATGTAGCGCAATATTACTAGGAGTGCTGACCCCAATTAAAATGGGACAATAGCCACGGAGAAGAAGAACGATAGATTTATCAGCCAGTTAACAGCTACGTAGTACGGATAGTCAGTTAGTTAAATGCCTAAAACATTTTTTTATAGAATAAGGGTGGCAAGCGAGCAAACATTCCGGTATCCACAGTTAAGTGGATGCCACATACATCTATATTTCTCCTTAATGAAGAATTAAAATTCAGATACCTTGTCACCCTTGAGGATTTCTTGTTCTCTACACTCACCATACGAAACACAGCAGCATTAAGCAGCTATTTTGCGCTGGGGTTCTATGAGAGCGTGGTCCAACGTGGTGTGTTTGTTTTAG